CCCCCCGCTCCACGAGACCGTACTGGTGGGAAATACCTGGTAGGAGAGGAGGTGCCGGGCTTGTTGTCGGGGTGAGCCGTCAAGCCGCCTCTAGCCGTCGCGGCTGCCAGCACTAGAACGCCTCCGCGGGGTGGACCCGCGCCCGCGCCCGCGCACCGCGGCCCCAGCTCCGGGGACGGTGCGAGGGCACCCCCCCTCCTCGGCAAGGCCCTCAATGGGAGCGACTCCAGGCGTGTGCGGCACGGCTCCAGGGAGCTCCAGACAGCGGCGGGGCGGCGGCGCGCGGCTGGGGCTGGACTGGTTGCATCCAAGGCGAGTGCTACCCGGCTGGCCGGTGGCCGGCCGGCCGGCAGCTCCGCGCGGCTCGCGCGCTCGATGTGCCCCGCTCCGCCCGAACCTCCGAACCGAACGGACCGCGCGCCGCCGCGACAACAGCGACACCGGCAAACGCGACGCGCCAACCGTGGCGGCGCGAACGCGAACCGAACCGCGAGACGGGACGGGAGGCATCGCGCCAAGCGCCGAGCGCCCGTGCCCGTGCCCCGCTTGACTGGCTTCACGTTTGATTTAAATTCTTGGACTTTTCTACACGAGCTTTGACTCCTTCCGCCCCATACGTCTGGGCCAAATGCTGCCATCGACCTGCACGGAAAAATTAAAATAAAGAAAACCGCGTATGAGGTGAGCCCTAAAGCCGTGCCGCACGTTGGGTTGCCTATCCTGTAGATCACAGGCGCTGCTAAGTATCGGGACGGAAATTTGACTTGATTATTCTTAACTTAGGAACATAAATTGCAAAGCTAAGCTACGAAATGTTTTCCGTGCCGCACTCCAACATAGGTTTATTCGACTCGCTAACGAACTGTAGCAATACAACAATATATTTTTCTTTTACTGTGCCGCTGACTTACTCAATCCAGGTGAAAGGGGTGCCTTAAAATAAGCGAACGTATCTGATCATCTTCTATTTCTTTTCCGAAAAAGGGAATAATTTCTTAAATGCATCTTGTTATCGATGACTAATCGATTAGCCACGTGGACTTCCCCCTTCTCTTCCCGCATAAGCAGGACTAATGCATATTGATAATATGGAACTTCAGTTCGTGCGCTAGTGCCGGCTAGAATGGTCGTTGGTCATAGCATTTGCGGCGCAACGGAGAGCAGCCCACCCCGTTCGGCTCCTTCCCACAAGTCAACAACCCTGCCGACGGCGAGTCAACGACCCCGCCAACGCAGCTAAGGCAGAGGGTACTCGATACGGCGGGGAAGGGCCCCCCGTTCGACTCGTTGCCATAGAGGAACAGTTTCAGAGGAGCAGGCCTGGCTTCAGCACATCCAGCATGTCGCAAATCCTGAGCTACACTACGGACGTGCTGATTCACTATGGCACCGGGTTTTGGTCATACACAGGTCAGTGCCAGAGTCGTATTTCAAAGAAGCCGGAAAAGTAAGTTGTGCTCGTTATTTTAATTGGTTCTAAGCCCGACGCAGACCCCCGGTCCGAGCACCTTCCGATGATGAAGACACCCCTTCCCGTCTTGGCCATCGTCGCCGGCTACCTGTACTTCGCCCTTTCGCTGGGGCCGCGGCTCATGAGGCACCGGGAGCCCTTCAAACTGGACAAGGCCATGCTGGTCTACAACGCCGTGCAGGTCCTCTGGTGCGCCTACCTAATCAAGGAGGTGAGGACCGTTCACCTGAGCCCCGAGACCTATCCCATATTACTTTTACCGTAGATGTTGACTTGACCCTTATGGTTCCGCGTTCCCTGGCAGTGCTTCCGACTGGGTTGGGGTTCGACGTATAGCTGGCTGTGTGAGCCTCTCAGCAAGACCAGTCTGCCGTCAGACTACGAGGTGAGCCCCTCGAGGAATACAGTATTCGCTTCAACCTTCAGAAGTCTCGAGACCAGAATCAAATATGTTCCTACTCCGGTTCCAGGCGGCCCACACCGTATGGTTGTACTTCATACTTAAGATCGTGGATCTGTTGGACACGGTAAGGCAGCGCACCATGGTCATGTAGCAGTTTGTTGCCACATTGATGTGTCAGAGTGTGTGGGGAGGCCGGCAGAGGCGCCCACCGGGTAGGCCAATAGTTGGCGCTGCACACGCAGGCGTACTGCGGAGCTGCCTACCCGCCGGTCGTCAGGCTGTCTCAGCGCATTGAGGAGGTGGACTTGACCGCCCGCCTTACGGAAGACGAGGGACCTGTCAAGCGGGCCCGAGTTCTGACATCGTGTTCGACAGGTGGGGCTGACAGCCGAGTGCCGAGGGTGCCGGGCCTTCGTCCTCTGGACACCACTGCCCGAGGGTTCGAGTCCTGATCGGGGCTCGCCCTTCGAAGGGATGCCGGGATCCCGGTGCGAGTTTTGGGCTCGGTCCTGTCTAACGGGAGACAAGAAGCGGCAAAAATAAAGTTTGCTCCGGCCTGGAGTTGATCTGAGGGCCGACAGTTTGGTTCTGATGAAGCTGTATGCGTTCGTGTCAGTACAACTACTGTTTAGCTACAAAAGGGGCGTGTGACTGGGTGCGTCGGATATTAGATATTGCCCAAATGGGGATGTTCTATAGTCTAAGCTGGCTCTGGCCGCCGGGTTTGTGGTCATATAAAGCATATAAATGTGGCCACGAACAGGGACGTTCGGTGGGCGGCTCCCCCAGAGACAGCCTGACGACCGGCGGGTAGGCAGCTCCGCAGTACGCCTGTGTATGCAGCGCCAACTATTGGCCTACCCGGTGGGCGCCTCTCCCGCCTCACCACACACGCTCTTAACCATCTACTTGCAGGCCTTCATGGTTTTACGCAAAAACTTTCGCCAAATATCTTTTTTGCACGTGTACCACCACACGGCGATGGTCATCGCCATGTGGATTGCCGTAAAGCTTTGCCCCGGTATGACTTCTGTTTTCCTCTATCTATTTGGTGTCGTGCTCGGGAGGAATTCTTGTTCAACTCTGTTTGTCTCGCAGGCGGTCACCACACGTTTTTGGGCTTCCAAAATTGCATCGTCCACTGCCTCCTGTACGGTTACTACTTTGTCAGCCTCGTTGAGCCCCGTGTCAAGTCGGCGTGGTGGAAGAAGTACATCACCCTGATCCAGATGGTGCAGTTCGGAGTGAACGTGGTGCACGAACTGTCCCCCTTCCTCATTCCCGGCTGTGATGTAGACCGCAGGATCGGCGCCGCAATCATCGCGCAGAACATCTGCATGTTGGCTTTTTTCGGGGAGTTCTACCACAAGAACTACTATACAAAGCAGGGGCGCAACAAAGATAACTAGATTCGACAGATTACCCAAAGACAAATAGAAACGTGGATTCAACGTTGAATCGACGTCCTAAACATGTCTTAGGCAGCCGTTATTTGTGGGAACACCTCAATGTTTCACTAGCTGCATTTCGGTGATCCTTAGTGAAACAGTATTATGCCTTAAGCATTGTAGTTGTTTCAACTCACTTCAGTTATGTTCAGAAATAGTTTCCATAAACAATCAACAACGCATTTGAAGCTTTTCAATTGTCTCTTTAATATGTTTTCAGATTTTGTTATCGGCCGGTTTAAGAACTGAGCAATTACTTTTTCACATATGACAATGATGGCTCTCTTTGCTACAGAAAAATTATAACAGAAAACTTGTAACAGCATATATAGATTTACTATCACTTCAAACAACAATTAAAGTCAGGACATTTTATTTATAACTAGTTCTTATCACTTTCAAGTATGGCTAATATTATTGGCGTAAAAC